TTTTAAACATTTCTGTCAAACGGGCTTTTGCGAGCAACTTTTTCGAACTTCTGCGACAACGGTTGCGCACCTGCCAGGGCCATCATCCCTGTCAAATAATACCATGCGGGACACATTCGTTTTTTCTTCGCGCGCGCACGCCGAAATCTCCAAAAACCATTGGGCTTCTTAAGAATTTTAGCACCGCGCATCATAAAATCACACGAATCGCACCGTAGGTCCTCGAAAAACACCTGCACGACTTTTCAAAATTTCTACCCGCGCGCGCTGTCCGAATCCTAAAAAAACCAATGGTTTTCCAACATTTATGTTACATGAGCTCGCGCGAGCTACTTTCGCACGCTCTTGCAACGGGGTTCGCGCGCCTGCCAGGGGCCACAATCCCTTGCGGTTGCGCCATAGGTTGCGCCCTCGGCCGCCGAGAATAAAACGTCCCCCTATTGGTTGCGCCATAGGTTGCGCCCTCGGCCGCCGAGAATAAAACGTCCCCCTACTGGTTGTGGGTGTACGAACGTAGGCTTAACAACTTCTGTGGGTGTGTACTCCACGCCAGTGTAGTAGCCACGGTCGTCCGCAGGCCACGAAGTGAAGTGTCCGAACGTCATAGGGCGGGAAGCTGGGTGTGGGTGGTGGCGAAGAGTCGTGTGGATATTTGGTAGAGCTTGCACTGCCCCCCCACAAAGTGGGGGTATTGGCTGGCGTCGCATGAAAACCCTGGCACTGGTGAGAACACTGAGCGTTCGGGTAAAGTGATTGTTGATGTTGTTGTTGATGTTGTTGTTGTTGTTGTTGTGGTTGTTGTTGTTGTTGTTGCTGCTGCTGTTGTTGTTGTAGTTGTTGCTGTTGTTGTTGCTGTTGTTGTTGTTGTTGTTGTTGTTGTTGCTGCGTGCATTTCCCTATCCTCTCCTCTGTCCCATATTCGCAGTGTATCCAGAGCTGGTGCAATCCGCCTCGCTCGATGCCCGACGCCGCGGTGCGAGCCCCAGCCCGTGGAGAGTGGCGGTGACCGAGCGTGCGCCGAGAAGGGTCCCGAGCAGCCCAGGCTGGTCTCCGCGGCGGCCAGGGGGGGGGGAGCAGGGGCCCGCGAAGCCCGTGCGTGCGGGCCAGGAGGAGCAGAAGGAGGAGCAGGAGGAGGAGGAGGAGGAGGAGAAGGAGGAGGAGGAGGAGGAGGAGGAAGAGGCTGCTCAACGTAAAAAGGAGGATGAGGACTAGGAGGAGGAGGGGGAGGAGGAGGAGGAGGAGGAGGAGGAGGAGGAGGAGGAGGAGGATGAGGAGGAGGAGGAGGAGGAGGAGGAGGAGGAGGACTTGGAGGGGGAGGAGGAAGTGCGAGCCGAAGGCGACGCTGAGAGGGCGGCCATGTCTGGCTGAGGCGCGCCGCTGCACACGCGCTCCGCGAGCGTCGCGCCGCCTGACCAGCGAGGGGGGAGGCGCTCATGTTCGATGGCAAGGCCAATCGATATCGAATCGGTCGTAAAACGACTTATCGACTTCTGCCGTCCTTCGACTCGCGCTGGAGCGGCCGCAATCTGCTCCGACTGTCCGTGAAGGTCTCTGGATCTGCCTGGATCTACCTGGATTCACCTCGATTCAGCTGCATTTGCCTGGATTTATCTGTATTTGCCTGGACTTCTCTGGCCCGATCCCCACAGGTCGATTGGCGAAGAGTCGTCATGCCCTTAGGGGCAGTGTCGAATCAGGAGAGCCAATCAACACGTGCTTCGGATCGGACCGCATCGGCACGGAGCCGAGACCGGATCGGATCGGCCGCGGCATGATGCGCAACAGCGCCCCGTGCCAACCTCGGGCCGCAACGGATCGCCGGCAGGCGGCCGGACCTGGCACAACAAAGCATCCTTCAAGAACGCGACGCCCTCCGCCGGCCACGCTGAAGAACGTTCGAGGGTCACCTCCCCCAAGATGCACAAGAACATCCAAGAAACACGAGGGTACCCTCTAAAGAACGTTCGAGGGTACCCTCTGAAGAACATCCAAGACCATCCGAGATGCACACTGAAGAACGTTCGAGGGTACACTCCCGGAGCCGACCTCGATCTCATACCCTCGGCCCGACCGCGCCAGAATCGAGCCTGCTCGGGCCGCGGGGCCGGAGTCGACGTCGGCCCGGGCCGATCGCATCGAGATGGACAGTGCGCCTCGGGCGGGCACGGGGGCGCACGGGCGATCGCTCCCGTGGATCCGCAGCCAGCGTCCCGCGACTGCCCTACCCAAGGCCGCCCGCCATCCCTGCGCAGGCGCATCGTCGAGGCGGGGAGCGGCGCGGCCGAGGCCGAGGCCGAGGCCGAGGCCGCGCCGCCGAGGGGGGAGAGGCGGCAGCGGGGCCGCGGCAGGGTGCGGTGCGGCCGCCCTCCAAGGCGCGGGCCGCGCTCGCAGCTGGCGGGCGAGTGCCGCACTCAGCTGGGCACAGAAACGACAGCCGAGGCCGCCCCCGCAGCGGGCCGCAGCGGCAGGGAGGGCGAGGAGGCAGAGAAGGGGGCGCGCCCAGGGGTAGAAGCCCAGGCGTCCTCGGCAGCGCGTGCTCCCGAGGTCCAGCCGAGCCTTCTTTCTCGCCCGCGCCCTCCCCGCCCGAGCGGGGGGGGGCGACGGGGGGCGAGTGGGGGTTGGGTGGGTGGAGGGGGTGCCGAATCTCCGAAGTCGTGTTTTTTCAATAGGGTAGTGGACCTCTCGACCACTTCTCCGAGGCCAACCGTTCATCCTGAGTGGTTTTGTTGACAGTCCTGGGTCCTGGTGGGGACCCCAAGAAGCCGAACGCGATGAAACACTTCGGCCTGAATGCCCCAAGCCGTGCTTGCACTTATGGGTCTCACTTCTGTGACAAGGAACTGGGCATGTCAGTTGGTCTGGCGGCTATGTTGCCGCCGTCGCCGCCCAGTAGCCGCCACGTCGCCGCCCGTTGTCTGGGGCTGTCAGTCGGTCTGGCGGCTATGTTGCCGCCGTCGCCGCCCGTCGTCTGGGTCTCTCTGCCGGTCTGGCGGGCTGTTGTCGACGTCGCCACCCTGTCGCCGCACAGTAGATACATGTGTGTATATATATGTATATATATAGATATATATATATATATATAGGAAGATGTATGTATGCGTATATCTACAAGTAAATAAATAAACATCAGGATCTACCATTCTCCCGCCAACTTTGTCGACACCACCAGGGACACTGCATTTGCATGATGCTCGTGCCCCTCGTTCATGTTAGATATGGGTTCATACCATCCCACGGAGTGATACCATCCCGCGGAATGCCTGTATCGATCCCCTTTTCATCCCTGTCAAACAACACTCTGCGCGCCCACTCGCTTATCAAACAATCAAGAGTTGGCAGAAATCCCGTGCAACATATTTGACAAACTTGTCTCGCACGCGTCGAGGTTCCCGACACGTATGAAACAATCAATGGTATTGCAACAGGATTGTCAAACAAATCTGCACGCGCGCGCGCTCTTGCGAACTTTTACGAAAACCGAAGGTTTTCAACATGTCCATCACATGCGACCAAACGGGCCCCTCGCGCGCGGATCTCGAAATCATTCGCACGGCCTTGCGCACTTGCTGGGGGTGGGGCGCAATCCTTGCTGCCAAAGAAGACCATGTGGGCGACTCGTGCGCGTCGGCCGCGCGCGCATGTCGAAGTCCGTCCAAAGACGTTATCACCGACACGTGGAGAACATCATCGTCATCGGCATGACCAGCATCGGCGCCGCCATTGGCGTTGCCGCCGTCATCATCGTCATCATCATCGTCACTATCATCATCGTGTTTGCCGTTGTCGACGTCGCCATGATACGCGCCCACCCGGGCCACTGACTCGCACTGAAGTGTCCGCGGGACAGCGCGGCCTGCGAGACGCGCTGGGGTCGGCCGCGCCAAATTAGTTGGCCGCTCTGTGCGCGAGCATGTGCGCGCTAGCGCGGCCGCAGCGGTTCGCCAGCCAGCGCCAAGCAGTCATCGCAATCGCCGCCGCATGGGTTTTACGAAGCATGTTGCGGGTGGGTCGGTGGGATGATTGTGCGAGCAGTGGAGTTGGCAAGTTCAAGTTCTGCATACACGTCGTTCATTTCTAATCGTGCTCATTTCTAATTGTGCTCGTTTCTAATTGTTCCTGGCCCCCTAGTGGCCAGGAAGAGGCCCAGGATAGAACAATTAGAAATGAAAGGATCCTGGCCCCCAAGAAATCAAAGAACTCTCGAAAACTTCGAAATTAACAATGTGTAGTGAGTTGCACTTTGTGCCACATAGATTGCGCAAAGCATTTATTGCATCACATAGTTTGCACCACGTAAATTGTCTAAGGCAGATTGCTAGAAACACACTGATTAAGGCCAACGCTGGCTGACATTTTTCTTTTTAGGTACGCAGGGCGTCTTGGGAATGGGGACGGTGGGGGGCGAGAGGCGGGCGAGAGGGGGGATGGGGGAGCAAGGGTGCGAGGGGTGAGGGCGAGAGGGCGACGAGGCGGCGTGCGGCGGGGCCGGTCGGCGCAGGCCGCTGCGGTCTCGAGGAGGGGCGGGGGGCGTTCTACTTCTCGGGGCTCTGCCAGTGGCAAGCGGCCCAGAAGGGCGTATCGATGCAGCAACGACACAGCAACCGATCGAGCCGAAGCGAACCGAACGCAACCGACTGCGGCGTATCCGAGCCGACCGTACCGCGGGTTTCTTCGGGGCACTGCCGAGCAGCGAGTGCGTGCGGTAGGTCCCCTGTCTCCTTCTTGCTTCTGCACCCCCCCCCCTCCTCCTGCTCCTCGTGCAGCCATGCCAGCGTAGTATCCCCTGCTCTTTTCGGAATGTTAGGGATGTGAGGGCTTAGGGATCAAGGAGGGGGGAATATATTTGGCCTGGGAGCAGCGAACATCGCGACGCGTCCGAGGAGTAAGGAAGCAGTGGTGATGGTGGTGATGATGAGCCTTCCTGCAAGGGGTCAACGCGGCGCGTCCGGAACAACCTCCATCAATCAAGCACCTTCCCAGCTGATATCTAGGGGTTGGGCCAATTTTGCCACGGTGCTCATGGAAGCCAAGACATCGTCCAAATCCTGCGCGGCAATCGCGAGACACTCCTCGCGCGGCTGCAGGAACCGTGACTCCAAGAGCACGGAGGAATCCCCCGCGCGCTCGGGGTCGTCGAGGCCCACGCAGACTGCGAGCTGCGGCTGGTCGGGCGATGACGCCTTGTGCACAAAAGTGGGGTGCCCGCTGCGAGGATGAGGCCTGATCGTGCCCGTGAGCCCGTTGAGGTGCCGAGTCTTTGCGCCCCGGAGCCCGGCAATCGTCACCCTCTCGCCCACGCGCAGGGCGCTGCTCACCGCCACGACGTCGTCGAAGCCCGGCCAGCACTCGCCGACGCCGTATCGCCTGGAAGGAGGAGGGGAGGGGGTGGGCAAGGGGGAGGCGGGGGAGGGTCATCGAGGAGAGGGAGAAGAGATCGGGACGAGGACGGATACGGTCAGGAATTTTTGCTAAGCGAGTCGCAGCGGCGGCCCCAGCGACACGCTATGCCCTGCAGGCGGAGAGCGTGTCGCTCCGCTCCGCGGGGAGAGGTGATGGGCCAAGCTCGGGACGTTGATGCTTGGGACTGGGGCGTTGTTAGGGTATCGAGCCGAAGCGTGGTGGGCCAGAACGGGCGACACGCCAAAGCAAGTGTTCCTGACTGTATGGTGAGCAGAAAAGGGAGCGATAATTCGGCAAGAAGGAAACAAGTGCCGGTGGGAACGGGTCCTGGTCGGATGGGGCTGCATCGGCACGGAGACGGAACCGATTCGGATCGGCTGAAACAACATGCGCGACACAGCCATGCAAACATCGGGCCGCATCGGATCGTCCGAACATCGGAATCGAATCGGATCGGACCCGGCCGGCCAGACCAGGTATCGAATCGATCGGATCGACATGGAGACAGGAGGAAGTGGGCCAGCAACTTCCGACGCCGAAGCGCCTTGACGGATCGAGGACCACCACGGTGCAGTGAGCCTCCCGACCAGCCGCAACGGAGGCGGCTGTGCTCCCCACCCCCTTAGGGGAAACCCATCGTGCGGACGATCTCTCGAGAAGGGCGTCGGAGCCGACGGGTTTCCCGCGGGGGGGAAGTACCACGGCTCCCCCGGCTCTTGCCATCGCTCGGACGCGATTTTCGTCTGCATATTTCTTTGCTCTGAGGGGGCTGCCCGATGCAATCGAACTCCCCGCAGCCCCACAGGCATGGCGGCCTGCATGGTTCCAGGCGGAGCAAGGGGACCCGTGGAGGAACGCGACATGAAAGCGCTCGAGCCCACGCATCCGAGCGATGTCCAGAGTTATGGGGGAACGAAGAGAAACCGACACCGCTGCTCCCTCTACCTATCCCGGGGTGCACCAGAATTTCAAAGAGAATCCAGCCGTGGCGACGAAGGCTCTCCAGGAGCAGCAACAGCATCTTGGAGGCGGTAAACGTGGTCTGAACCAGCTGGGACTCCAGAAAATCGGTTAGGAGGGGGGATGAAGCCAAATCCGTTCATAAACCCGGCGCGATCCCAATTAGGGTAAAGCTTCCTCTTGCATGGGCAGAGTGCTTGGCATTGCTTGAAAGGGGTACAGTATAAGAAATCGAGGCACCAAGGGCGGGGAACCCGAGGGACCCGGGGAAGGAATCAGAGGAACCCAAGAAACCCGAAGAACCCGGGGAACCCGGGAACCCGGGGAACCCGGGAAACCCAGGGACCCCCCGAGGAACGGGCAAAGTAGCAATAGGATTAAATCGGGCGTGTCCCCCTACAGGGGGATTTTCGACAAAGAATAATATATATTTATAATATTTATATATATATTATATATATATATATATATATATATTATATATATTCAAACAATCCTAAAAAGATGCCCCCAAATATTCAAAAAATGATCCACAGACTATTTGTTGACTACTTTTGAATATTCCTCCTGTAGAGGGACAGGCCCGACTTGACAATAGGAGGCAGTGGGGGCGGGGAACCTGGGGAAACTCCGAGCAACGGGCAACGTAACCCCCGAGGCACCAACCTTTGACCAAATCAGAACCCCTCAGGCAAGCCGAATCGGGGAAAAATCGGTCCAAGGACCCCTGCTGGACCCCAGACGCGTCTTTGATGGTCCCACGGCGCCGAACACGGCCCCTGGCGGCCGACAGAAGAACAAAAAAAACACCTTCCTGAACCCAGCGCCTCGAACCTGCTCCCCCGTCCTGCTCGCCGGAACCAGCGCCAATGCCCGGCCACCTTTGACCTGATTGACCCAAAACGGGGTCCAGCGAAAAGGGGGTGGTGCAAAAGAAATAAAATCAATCTATACATATATATAAATATAAAGAAATATAAATATCTACAACTATGTATGTATATATATATATATACATACACACATACATACATACATACATACATACAAACAAACATACATACATACATACATACATATATATATATATATATATATATATATATATATATATAGATATATATACATACTAGAACCACGCGCGCGCTTCGCGCGCGCTTAGGTTCTAGTCACTCCCGCGACCACGCTCAACACCGCCAATGCCGCCACGGCTACCACCGCCCTTTCCGCCATCACCGCGGTCACGACCACTTCCGATTCCATGTCCATTCTGGGTATGAACACCCCATCCACGACGATTGCACTTTCTGCGACCACTATAACGGCCATGGGGTCAACCTCTGCCTGTACCACAACGAATACCACTACCATTGCCACTGCCACTGCCGCGAATCCACGACCACTATCATCACCACCACGGGTCGCTACACGTCGGGTCCTGGAAGTCCGGCGCATTCCACGGGACTGGTATGTCATCCTGTCCAAGAGATTCGCTAGCGTGACTTGTTCAACGCGGGGTCCCTGGAGTGGGCCCGAAGTCCGAAGACCTTCAATGGGCCTGGTGTTTCCTCGTAAATGTTTGACGGTCCCGGGCCCCGTTTCGGGCCTCAGGAAGCGAAGAGTGGTCTCGAAGCTTCGGGAGCGGGAAGAGTACATGAGGGCGTCTGGTCAGGGGGCTGTTGGGGGCCTCTAGGGAGCTTCTTGAAGGTTTTTTGGGGGCTTCTTGGGGGCTTTTTGGGGGGCTCTTGGGGCCTCCTTGAGACCTCTGGGGGCGGAGGGCTTGAAATGTTCGTAGGGCATCCTCTCTGGGCCCCTGCTTGGGGCCGTCCTGGGTCCCTCTTGGGCCGTCTTGGGGACCTCTTGGGCTAGCCAGGGGCCCTCTTGGGCTGTCTTGGAACCCTCTTGGGCTGTCTTGGGGCGATCCTGGCGGCCTCTCGGGCCGTCTTCGTTCCCCTGGAAGGTCAAGAGGCGAATCCCTGAAAAATGTATGTTTTCCGAAGGGAACGGAGCCATTTTTGCCTCTTGGGGCCCTCTTGGGAGGGCTCTTGGGGCCCTCTTGGGCTGTCTCGAGGGCTCCCGGGAGCCCTCTTGGAGCCATCTTCGGCGTCTTCAAGCTACATTTCGAGGCTTGTGCGCCCTCTTGATCTGCTTGGCGGCCTCCGGCGCCCTCGCGAGCCGTCCCGGGGGCGCCCCAGAGGCCCCAATACCCCCATGCGCCGTCGAGGTCGCGATCCCGGGTCCCCGGTCCTCGTTCCCCCGTATATATATATATATATACATACATATGTATGTATGTATGCATGCATGCATGTATGTATGTATGTATGTATGTATGTATGTATGTATGTATGTATGTATGTATGTATGTATGTATGTATGTATGTATGTATGTATGTACGTATGTACGTATGTACGTATGTACGTATGTACGTATGTACGTTACGTATGTACGTATGTACGTATGTACGTATGTACGTATGTACGTATGTACGTATGTACGTATGTACGTATGTACGTATGTACGTATGTACGTACGCACGTACGTACGTATCTATGTATGTATGTATGTATGTATGTATGCATGCATACATGCATGTATGTATGTATCTATGTATCTATGTATCTATGTGCCTATGCATCTATGTATGTATGTATGTATGTATGTATGTATGTATGTATGTATGTATGTATGCAAGTATATGTATACATGTATACTCTGTGCATTAGATTTGTGGGGCTGCAGCGAATTCGGGTTGTGCAATACATTCTGCTGCGCAACTGTATTGCTGGATTTTCGCGTGCAATGCAGTAGTTGCAATGCAATGCAATCGAATTCTCTGGCGCAATACATTTGCATACAATTGCCCTAAATCTATTGCACTACCCCCATTCAGCTGGACCCTCTTTCGGGCCTAAGTCTAATAGACCCCCAGCCGGCTCCAAACGGCATCGGTATCTCTTCCGCCTGCGAAGCTGTGGCCGGTCCGGCCTCCGCCAGCCCCGTCACCACCGCCAGGCGCTGGTGGAACTCGCGGGGCGACCTGGGGCAACGCCGAGGGGGGCCACCACTGTGGGGACCGCCGCTTCCTCGAGAAGACGCCCTTCCCTCGAGGTGGCCCCCGAGGGCGCTCCGGAGCCTCCCAAACACGACCCCAAAGGTCCCAGACCCTTCTCGAGCTTCAATCCTGAAACCTCGATTTCCAGGAGGAACCGCTTGCTTTCCTACAGCTATGCTATCCCGAAAAAGCTGGATGGGAAGATTCAGTCCTGCCCACCCTGCCCCCGGCCCCAAACCAAAATTGGCCCGAGGAATTGCGCTTGGCGGTCGCCACCGCCAACATTGGAAGGGAGGCAGGGGGGCCACGGACCACATGGCCCCAATTTGACCTCGCAGCGGTCCGAAGAAAGCCACGCGACCCCATGCACACTTCCATGGAGTTGCTTTGTTGGAATGGTTGTGACCTCCCCTGTTGTGAACCCCCCTGGCACTGCCCGAATAGAAGCCTCCTAGATGGGGTCAGAATGGATAGGGTCGGAGGTATATTAGCGATGCATCGGCGACGTCGGCGACGCATAGGCGAGGCCGGCGTGGAGAAAATCGGGCCCCACATCGAGCTGCATCGCCGATGCATCGGCGATG